CTGTTTTACAAGGCATTTCAACTTGATGCATTAATTAATACAATAAAAAGCTTGAACGTTACATGACATATTGTTTGATAGCGACTGCACCGATGCTGCTTCAATTCGTGCTGGCAATTATAGCTGTAGTGAGGCGGCCTGTAACGGGGTACAGCAGTCATGTTCAACTCTTTGACAGGGTGTAACTAATATTCTGACTCGTGAGGATGTTATTTTTCGGTCCTCAGATGAGGCTCATTTCGCCTCAAATGAGTGCAAAACGTCCGTCCAATAGACACTAGAGAGGGAAAGGCTGCTTGTTGCTATCATATTCGGAAGAATTGCCATTTTGGCACTTAGTGCAGCTGTGGAAACTTGCGGAGGGAGGGAGGGGACAGTACTTTGAAGAGGGCTGGGCATCGCGGAGAGCAGGGCAAAAAGAAGACGAAAGCGAGTAGTGGGGGGCGGGAAGGCGGGATTGCGCGATGGAGATTGCAGGGAATGGTGATACGAGGTTAATGGCTTTGCCACGTGTATCACTATTGCACGTGCCCACGTGTTATATGTAAAGCGATCTGTACAATGTACAGCACGAGTACGAGCACGAGTACGAGCACAAGAGCGGAAGCATTGCGCGCGGAAACACGGCAGCGTGACGGTGATACGGAAGAGTGCCAGGGATGCGGCCGTGGTGTCAAGTTGACGAAGCAAGGTCGCGTGGCATCGCCACGAGTTGGTCATGCCCCAGCGCACGCCTCCCAGCGCACGCCTCCCAGCGCACGCCCCTAGCGGGCCGGCGGCCCTACCGCCTCAGCATTTCGCGGCGCTGCCTCGCGGTGCAAATGCGCTCCAGATGGCGCATCTTGGCGTGAAACCTCCCGGCGTCCACGCCGGCTTTCGGCAGCCCCTGCTCGCCGTGCGCGTCCCACACTCTGTGCATCTCCGCGAGCACGACCTCCCCCCTCGGCGCGCCGCCGCGCAGCACGGCGCTCGCCAGGGCGCTCACCACACGCGGCGCGGCAAGCCCCCTCTCCCTCGCGGCCTCGTACACGAGCTCCGCACGCTTGACGCCTGCCGCGCCGCCGCCGTGCGCGCAGGCGTAAATCAGGCCCTCGAACGTGCACTCCCCGGGGCGCAAGCCGCGCTTGCGAAGCTCGCCTAGCACGGCGAACGCGTCGTTGAGCCTGCCCGCGCGGCCGTACCCGCGGATGAGTGCGTCGTACATCTTGCGATCGGGGTCGACGCCGTGCGCGACGGCCTCCTGCAGGAGGTCTGCGGCCTCGTCCGGGCGGCCGTCGACGGCGAGCGCGTGCATGACGGCGGTGTACGCGTGCGGCGCGCGCATGTCGACGCGTCGGCGCGCCTCCCTGAGGGCGAGTAGCGCGTCAG